AATGCTTGAATCCGGGGAACTTGTTGACTGGCCAACCATTGCTCGCCGTATTGCAGTCAGGTCCAGAGGAGGCTCTCGCTGTTTTCGGTGGATGGAAATCAATGTACCAATGCCAAAGCTTTTGGAGCCGTTGATCATCGCAGAGCACGTTCACAATATTAATGTGTCACGGCCTATTATTGTTCGTACCTGGCCAGTACAATACATGTTATAAATTATAATAATAAATAAAAAATTGAAAAATTATTTTGTTTTCTTATCGATTAGACACATTATGATTATTATAATTAGCCATAAACCTAAAGTTAATAAATGATATACGTAAATCAAACGTTTTTTAGAGCCTCGTATTATGAGTAAAATCGACTTGAAAAATTCGGTCAATCCAAGTTAAGTACTAAAAATAGGTGTTACCATAAAAAAATTAATTTTTGTACTGTTCATGCTAAATTCATTTCAATACAAGTTCACCCGGCCTTATATCGTGATCACACTGTATATTTAAATCTTACAATATCTTTACACTTTAGGATACATTTTTTAATTAATACACATACAAAATAAACGAATAATGTTGCAACAGTTGAATACCTATTTTAAAGTTACGGTGTGGTGCCTTCCATTCAATGTCCGAAGCCTCGAAGGGCTCTCATGAATTTTATCGAATATCACCATGCAATACAATTTTATGTAAAATACCTTATCTTATCAAAATGTGAAAAAGAATTTTAAAACAAAGTTTAAATAATCATAAAAAAAATTCAATATAATATATTATAATATTATAAATAAGGGAGATTCGCTAAAATAACAAATAAGTACATATAATATATACTGTTGAAGTCTCCATCCGATGGTTGCGACGCTCCCGACTGTAATTTGTCATTACATAAATTATACCAATATATTCCTATGTATTACGATCAGGGATGGCCAAGATTCTCAAAAATCGGTATCGAGATACTAGATACTAAATACATGGATTTGGAGTACCGAAATTCTAGATACCGATACTTACGTTTTAAGTATTTAGATACTCGATATCCGATACTCGAAATAAAATTAGTCACAGGTTTTTTTAAAAAATTTATTTATACACAATTTGGTATATATTTATTAAGTAATTAATAAAGACCACATATTTAATAACTTCATAATAACATTATACAACACTATTAATTATTATTGTTAATTTATGTGCATAATTATTTAGTTAGTCATAAACTACATAGGAAATAAGTAGTAACTTAATTATTAAACTAGTATTATATATTATATTGATAAAACCGAAAAACTGATTATTTTAATACTACCTATTAAACTTTAAACTAATTATTTGGTATTGAACTATATTTATGTTTTATACCAATAATTTTAGTAGGTTATATATATCCGTAAGCTAACATAATATGATAATAATATTATAAAAACTTTTAATGTTCTGGGCTGACCAAATTGTTATTATTTTTTTTTTTTTACTTGTCTCATAACGTTTTTGAGTAGTAAATTAAAAACCACCCTCAGTTTTTGGTTTAAAATTTGATCTGAACGGATTTACACCCAAGACTTATAACTGTTCAGTAGAGATGATTCTGAAGTGTTTTTTTTTTGTTGGTTAATTATTTTACTCCGTTAAAATAATTGCAACAAGTATCCAACATCATAAACTAGTTTTATTTTGTTTTCAAATATTGTGTTAAGGTATTTTTCAAAACATTTGAAATGATTATTTTTATTTTTAATAACTAATAATCATAATATGCTTAATTTTTCATATTATTTAAGGCTTTAAAATATCTTCCACACCAAAATTAATAAGTTTTGTAAATTACAATAATAACTGTTGTTAAAAACAAATTTTTATTTTAAATTTAAAATAAATAAAAACATTTTATTTTTATAAAATGATGAAAAAAATAATCCACCGAATTCACTGAATAAACTTGTCTTCAAGTTAACGAAAACTTTGAAATTCAAAAAGGTACGTATTATTTAGTTTCCAAATTATCATAATAATTCAAAATTATATTCACGATGGATTTTTTGACTAAATCAGAATTTACCCACGTCTTATAAAATTAAAAACTCGTAAATGCACGTAGTAGTCAGTATATAAGAATAAGAAAATGTGATAATATTTATAGGGCGAGTCACGTACCTATTAAAAAATCGTTCAAATTTTCTTGACCGGCCATCGTCATGTCCTATACATTTACTACACCGGTGAACAGTGTTGAGAGAAGATAAAGATAAAGATAAAATACCTAAAATCTATTAACAAAAGAAAAAAAAACTGGAATAAAATTATCTACTTAATACATTAAAGATATGGAATTATAATTTGTCTAGAAAAAAAAAACAGACACTTTTTAAAAGCTATGATTTAAAATTTGAATGTTATTAGATCAAAAAAATGTATCAGTATATGTTAATGTATATTTAACCTAAAGAGTCAGTTACTGACTCAAATAATGTAGAATGCAGATAAACTGAAATTAAATTGAAAACTGTCACAGTGTACTTTATTTTTTTAGACTTACTTTTAGACCAAAGGGCCAGTATGTATAATAACTAATAAGTAACTATGTTATTGTCACAATATAATATAATGTGTAAAGCAGAGGTTGATGTGTGAAACAATAATTTTTGTTATTGGTTTGGGCACCTTCCCCAAAACAAATCAGTGACTGAATATGGGAATATAGTCGATCTACATATTCTCAAACAGTGTTTCTTGGAGCCTTAGGACTCCGATATAGTGATATAGGAATTCCACAATATCATCGTTTATTGTATATTTTAAAGAAAAAAAAAAAATTACCAAATCTGCACTCGTTCTATTTTCTATTTAAAATATCAATGAATTGTAATAGAATAATATCATGGTTTTTAAAGTTCAATGGCTTCAGTAAATTATGTACCTGTTTGGTTATCCTTACTAGGTTGTACTAACCTTACCATTACATGTATTCATTCATATGTTCGAGTTGTCATCATGTATTAGACACTATACTCGTATTATATTTTATATATTTTTAGGTTTTTAAAATTATTTTTCATAATATTTTTCCGTCTCGGTTAAAAATGTTAGTTATATTTATCATAATGAGGGATTTTAAAAATTTATTTTTTAGTTTATAATAAAAGAAAATTCCAAAACTTTAATCGTAAAAATAATATCTCAATTGCTTTGTTTAGAATGATATGTTGCGTTTCTGCAACAAAAATTTATATGCATATTCAATCAGGGTCTTTGAGTTTGTGGTTGGTCATTACATTAAACGTAATCTACAAATATAATACTAATTTATTTTGCAGGTAGAACTACTATTCGAGATTTCTGTTTTGGAAGAGATAGAAAGTATTTTGAAAAGCTCTTAAAAATGTTAACAGAGAAAACTGAGGATTACTAAGAAGAATGTATTTTATTTTTCTTCTCATATTTTAACCTATGATTTATGATTTATGTTAATAAATAGTCAAATCCTATGCAATTTGTAATAATTATTCCTTACACACGAGTATTTCAATTAAATATTAGTTTAATTTGTGTACTATCTGCACAAAGAACTACATTGTAACACAATTTGCCTCTTTATGTTTGTATCATATAGTTAATAATGCTATTATTATAACTATTTTGCAATTTATAACCTAATTTATAAATGTATGTTTGTGAGTATATTCAATAGTATTCTGTATCTATGGCAACCTATGTATTTTTTAACTATGTATTTTTTTAACCTATGTATTTTTTAACTTTAAATCAAATAATTTATTAGAATAAATTCATTTTATTCAGTATTTATTTAATTTGTGTAGTTTAATTCTAAATTGTCTGGCAGTCTTGTGACCATACTCAATAGTTTTTTTTTTAAATTTTTAAAGCAGATTTTCAAAGAAATATTAAATTCTTGCGATTGTTTGTCTCGCAATCTACTCTTCTATTCTCGATGTTTACACTATATTTAACACTGTTAAATATGTTGCTCTTCATCAATCCATATATTGATCTAGCCCCAAAGTGGAAGTTCCGTATATTGGCTTATCGGTATTCAAAATAATTAAAACAAAATGAAGGTTCAAAATAAATTTCTCATGTCACATTCAAGTAGCTGGGACCTGACAAAATCCTTGATGAATTGCTCCTAATAGAGCAACACATATGTGAACTCTGGTACCAGCTTCACGGATAAATACCATTTTCCGCGGAAAAATGGGGAGGGGGAGAGAGTTATTTGCTTTCTTTCGTTAGAATGTAACTTTTCACTCCCACCTCATGCTGGTGTACTCCGTCGCACTCTATCAAACGGCCGACGAACCAACCTGTAGAGCACTACCGGTGACCGGTCAAAATATCTCCGCAATAATATAACTAGTCAAAAACATCTCCACTTTAAAATTTTCCAGTACTAAATATCTCCGAATTAAAATATCTCTGATACAATATATCTCCGACTTAAAATATCTTTGATGCAAATTTCTCCCATGAAAATATTTTAATATTTAAAAATATATTGTATAATATGTTATTTTTAAATTTACCATTTAGCGGCGACTCGTTAAAAACGAATCCCAGTGAAAGCGACCGGCTATTTTGAATCGTTTGTGACTGTGGGCCGCAGGAGGTTCGCGGCGTTAAGGAGGGTTAAATTTTTTTTCCAGTTTTTCGACGAGATTTCGACGGTTTCGGGAAGCCGAGGGCTGGCCAATCGTTTACTCATACCGGGTCCGTAGCCGCCGCGTCAACGGTTGCCGAGATAATGCGCTCTGAAAAAAAGCATCCTGTGCTTAATGTGTGTTTTTAACGCACTGCTTAGAGCCGCCGAAGAGGGTTGTCTCTTTCGCCTTTCAGCAACGGAACTAAAAGTCGGACCAACTCGGTGTTGGTACCGATCGATTCGGGGGCACGTGCACGACACTTATCAATGACGAAAAGAGCTAACTTTAAGGAAAACTCCGTAGCTAGGTGAGGGGGACCTAAAAAAAAAAGTAAAACCATGCTACTCTCGCCGAATTTGACCAGCAACCTGACGGCATCAGGACCAACGCCGTTCGATCCGGGGTCGCCTGGTACAACGGAAACGACGACAAATTGAACCTCTCTTATCATGGTTTCACTCGTACTTAAGTGACAGATGGCAATTTGTCAACCTATTTAATATTAGATCAAAATTGTTCAGAACAACATCTGGGGTTCCCCAAGGCGGTCACTTATCCCCCTTATTATTTAACATTTTTATCAATACAGTCTTTCTTACTTCTATCCCCTGTCGTATTTTACTTTTTGCTGACGATTTAAAGCTCTTTGCTAAGATATCTTCAATAAATGATTGCCATGTCCTTCAAGAATCATTAGATGGGTTTTTGATCTGGTGTAAAACAGTTGGCCTAAATGTCAACGAAGACAAATGTAAAGTCATGTCCTTCTATAGATCTAGAACATGTATTGATTTTAATTACACAATAAACGGGATACCTCTAAAGCGAGTTCAAGAGACTAAAGATCTTGGATTCATATATACACCAACTCTATCTTTTAGATCTCATATAGATTATATATCCTGCAAGGCCTTAAAGATTATAGGTTTCATTCGTCGTCATACCACTGAGTTCAATTCAGCGCCTTGCTTGGTTGCACTTTATTGTTCCCTTGTAAGATCAATCTTGGATTATGGATCGATAGTTTGGAACCCATCACTTCAAGTCGAGACAAAACTTATCGAAAGAGTTCAATCTCGTTTCCATAGTCTTGCCGGATTTCTACTTAAAATTAACCACCCTCAGCACAATTACATACCAGTAATGAATACATTAAAACTGTGTTCTCTTAAAAATCGACGAGAAAGAGCTGACCACCTGTTGTTATTTAACCTACTTCATGGGAAGGTGGATGCACCCCGACTCCTGGAGCGCATTAATATACGTATTCCAAGTTTTCATACCAGATCTCAAGAGCCATTCCTCATCCCCACTTCAAGGTCCAACTTCCTGATGAACGATCCCTTAGTTAGAGCTATGCGCTCGTCGAATAATAATAATTTTGATCTTTGGCCTTAATAGAACATATTTTTTTTTCTGTCACTCTTATCAACATCCCCTGTATTACCTACTGTTTTAATATATACAATGTTATTTTTGTTATACCTATGTAAAAAGCCGATTGGCGTAAATTTATAAAATAAAATAAAATAAAATAAAACAAATACGGCCGACCTCAGGACTCCCTCAGTCCAGCGTAGGGGAAACCCCGAATCAACAATCCTCATGACGAAAAATTATTCTTTTCCGTTTTTCACTATTTAGCCAGGTTAGGGAGGGGGATGTGCCGGAAAACTTTTTGGCTTTTTGCGGTCTCGTCGGACGGAGGAGAGGATAGCGCAGGGTGTGATGCAGGTGGATTCTTGTAATTCCTTTTGGAACCGGGAGTTATGAATTTCCAAATCGGGCAAGTCGGCGAAAAAATTTCTTTTTTTCGATATTTTCCGTGAAAATTTTGCGTTCGATGGATGATGGTTCAGCCTCTTTTCGTCTTGGCCGCTCGGTTCATAGACGAGAATTTTATTGTCCTTTCTATAGAGACCATACAAAAGGTTAACCTTACGGAAAACCATGGAGCTGGGTGCGATTGAAGGCTGGAAACCAACCCCGAACGGTTGGTTCTAATTATTTCGGGTTTTCTGCCCTCGCTAATTTTCTGAAAGGTTAGCTCTTTTTGTCCTTGCAGAATTTTAGGCACGAGCTCCCGGATCGATTGGTACTAGATCGGTCAGTTGTCCGACTTTTGGTTCAGCAGTTATCATTTTATTTGTCACGAGGTCTTTTCGCATTACAGTATATAGGAACATATTATAATTTATATGTAAATGTAATCATATATTACTGCATGGGTATTATATATATATTAGCACCACCAGCACAATCTATACCACGGCCGACAAACCAACCTGTAGAGCGCTACTGTACCAGGGTCTGGACACTGATCAAAATTAACACGGTAAAGCTACAAAATACTCAAAAACGCGGCGGCCATGTTCACGGCGTTGGTCAATCAGTGTCAACATAAAAGAAAAACAAAATATTTATTACAACATTTTTAAAAAAATGTATTGATCCATTTATTAGTAATTCTATCGGCACTTGCTTATAATTTTAATTTTATTAATTTTAGCAACTGTATAAGATTAGTAACTAGTATAGTAGATACAATAAATAATAAAGGAAATATCATCATTCAACATACATGGTGAAAAAAATACACATTTTATTGTATCAAAAATATATTTTATATTTAAGCTTAAATGCAGCTGATGCAGTTTTGAAAGCTAATAGCCTTGAGTGTTTGGAGGAAGGCTTGAATAGTGGAGAGATATACAATGTATGCGCCCTGAATAGGGGCAACCCGAAGGACAACTCGGGGAACGCCCGAGAGCTAAATATTAATAATTGTGGCCAACGCGACCACTAGCGCCGACTATTTGGGTGGGTAGGCAACTATATATGCCTTCGCCTGAAGGCGAAAGTATGTACGGTAGGCAATTCTACGCACGAACGACGACAATAAGGATGGGAGATCCCTAACACAGAAATTAGGATGGTGCAAGCTAGTTATGGGGAGGGGGGTCTCTGTGGTCGAGTCGGTCTGGTGCAATAACCACAGAGCTCACAAAAACATAGGGACATTACTTAAATTAGCTTAAATCTACTGGAGACTTGAGATGCCGATGTACTGGAGCGGAAGTGGACGGTGGATGCAGTAGGCGGACGTCGAACTGGGCGACCTGGGCGGCCTCTCACACAATGTAATGTTGCTGGTCGAACGTAAGTGGACAGATGAGACACCACGTTCGATGATGATAATAATACAGAATGCCGAGTTTGACGGCAGCGATAATAAAATAAATAAAAACTTACGACTCAATAATTGATCAGTTCAAATTAAATTTGATTGAGTGATGATACATAATTGGTGCTTGCTTTATTAGTGGGTGACAAATAATGATACGTAGTAAAAGACGGATGATCGCTTTAATAGCAGATCAACAAGTTAAAAGGTAACGAAAAGAACAGGGTGGCCGCAACTAGCAGACAGTACGACGCCAATAATAATACGAAAAAAGATAATAATAATAGTAATAATAATAGGGCGTTGGCCGCATAAAAGATATCACGAAAATAAAAACGATAACATTGATAATTGCGAGACCAACGAACGAAAAATGATTATAACAATATAACACAAAAGACAAAACAAAGAGCATACGTTAAATAACAATTACAATCATATAAAACAAGTTACAGGACAGAATGGTGGATAGACGAGGAGCAAGATGTCGCCGCCGCGACTATTACTGTCGCGCGATAAGAAGCGATAATTGCTCGGCGCGAACATGCCATGTGGGTTAAAAATTAAGGGACAGCTTGACGAGGCTTGTTAAGGTATGAAGAAATAATGAAAGCCAAGACAGGTGACTCAAATTTGAGCAAAACTTTCTTTTGGACTAAAGTAATATGGAATATGATAAATATAGACGAAGCTACAAGCACCTTTAAACTAACACATCGCATTGAAACACGAACAAAGTTAACGTGAATTCCCATAAATCGTGAACTGTAACATTTTGCAAATTTAATTTAAAATTTCCAATTTGACACCATTCTTTAGAGGACGCTTTAAGCTTTCTTTTGGATTAGAGTGATATTGATTATGTTGAAATTTGACGAAGCTAGATCCAAATTCATATAAACTCCTTGCATCGAAATACCAAAGAAATTTACCTGAAATGCCGTGTATGTTGGACTGTAACTCTTTTCCAATTCAATTTAGAATTTCCAATTTGACAATATTCTTTAGAGGACGTTTTAAGCTTTCATTTGGACAAGAGTGATATTGATTATGTTGAATATTGACGAAGCTAGATTCACATTCATATAAACTCCTTCCATTGAAATGCCAAAAAAATGTACCTGAAGTCCCATGTATCGTGGACTGTCACTTTTTTCCAATTCAATTTAGAATTTCCAAGTTGATACCATTCTTTAGAGGACGCTTCAAGCTTTCTATTGGACTAGAGTGATATTGATTATGTTGAATTTTGACGAAGCTAGATCAACATTCATATAAACTCCTTCCATTGAAATGCCAAAGAAATTGATCTGAAATCCCATGTATGTTGGACTGTAATATTTTCCCAATTCAATTTAGATTTTTCCACTATTCACTATTCATTAGATGACGTTTTAAGCTTTCATTTGGACAAGATTGATATTGATTATGTTGAATATTGACAAAGCTAGATCCACATTCATATAGACCCATAGCATTGAATTACCAAAGAAATTTACTTGATATCCTATGTATCGTGGACAGTAACTTTTTTCAAATTCAATTTAGAATTTCCAATTTGACTACATTCTTTAGAGGACGTTTTAAGCTTTCATTTGGACAAGAGTGATATTGGTTATGTTGAATTTTGACGAAAATAGATCCACATTCATATAAACTCTTTCCATTGAAATGTCAAAGAAATTTACCTGAAATCCCATGTATGTTGGACAATCACTTTTTTCCAATTCAATTTAGATTTTTCCACTTTTCAACATTTTTTAGAGGACGTTTAAAGCTTTCTTTTGGATTAGAGTGATATTGATTATGTTGAATATTGACGAAGTTAGGTAAACATTCATATAGACCCATTGAATGAAAATACCAAAGAAATTTACCTGAAATCCCATGTATCATGTACTGTCACTTTTTTTCAATTCAATTTAGATTTTGCTACGTTTCACCATTCGTTAGAGGACGTTTATAGCTATCTGTTGCACTAGAGTTATATTTATTATGTTGAATATTGACGAAGCTAGAACCACATTCATATAAACTCCTTCCATTGAAATGCCAAAGAAATTTACCTGAAATCCCATGTATCGTGGACTGTAACATTTTTCCAATTCAATTTAGATTTTTACACTTTTCACCATTCTTTAGAGGACGTTTAAGAAGCGAATGTGTTGCCTGATGGTTGCTGGATATTTAGGCCCAAAAAAAATCCAATACCCTGAATAAGTATACTGATGAACAAATTTGGCATGCAACGTTGCCGTCAATCATTTTTGTTCGGGTTTAAAAGAGTAAAATTGTATGTAAGACCAAAACAAAAAATTTTTTAAAAGACAATTTGAAAAAAAATATATTGAAAAAATTTTGATACGAAAACTTTGCGAAAACAAAAGTAAGATTTATTTGTAATTTCCCCGAAAACATATCATCTACTGTTCTTTGTTTATCAAAATAGAGAGCCATTTACTCTATGTGGTATCGCTATCGTGTTATTAAGAAGCGAATGTGTTGCCCGATGGTAACTGGAAATTTATTCCAAAAAAAAAAAAACCCAATACCCTAAATAAATGTACTTGAACGGGCCTTGAGCATAATAAATATTACGCGTGCCCGAACGCCAATGCTTTAGAGCACCACTAACACCTAGGGCGGAGAAATAATATGGAGATAGCTGGGAGTGTAGTGATGTAGTAGTTCAAACAGTAGTGGTCGGGGTTGCCGGGCAAATACTGTAGAACTACGTAATGCGTGTTGTGCGTAAAGTGTGTTTTTGAGTACAAATGTGTTTATATGTGGGTGTGTGTACAATTAAACAATAATAATAAAATGGTAACACGGTTTTTGGTAATAATAGATAATTTAATATAACAAAATATTAGATTACAGTCCTTTTGGCCCAACAATGTAAAAATATTTAATAATAATAATTGCCGGTTCGGCACAACCAAATAAAAAGTAATAATATTATACAGCTAATTACTATTATAATAATGTATAATAAAATGGTTCCTAATGCCAATTGGGCACAATTAATAAATAATATAAATAAATGATGATATAAAAGAACTCACAATTTGTCGGTGTACTGCTGGCCAGCTGCAACCTGTATAGCTATATGTAATAATTGCACACACACAAACAATAAAATATAAAAATTACAACACGTTGGAGATGTTAGACGATTCGCGTCTACAAGTATAAAACAATATAATTTTTGAGG